GTTTTGTTCAGATTTAAGTTATTACTGCCGGAAGGAATATTAAGTTTGACACCAATTACCCTGTTTAGAAGCAGGACGACAGCCTTGTTCAGCTCTTCCCACAGGCTTGAAAAAATTAATGTATGCAAGCCCCTAAGAGAAGTGCTGGTAGGTGTGACATCTGATGAAACTGAACAAGCGAAGACAACATGTGTAAGTACCTTGCATAGCTTTATATTGCATTGGTGTGATGTGTTCAAAGCCAGGAGGAGGCACGTCCCAGTATTTGCAGGTCTTTTTCTTCCTTGTTCGCCTTGGAGAGTGACTAGACACAAAAACAGAACAGAACAATAACAGACGTCAGCAGTCAGTTTATGTACATTTCCAATGTATTTATCTGTTTTAAACATGATATTTTTAGAAAAATAATTAACGATGGCTGAATTCAATATAGCTCCTTCAGTTTCAGAATCACAGTATGGCTTTACTGTCTTGGTTTACTCTTAAATCTCTCGTGCTTCTGTTTAAGCTGCAAACAGAAGACAGACACAGAGTTCTAGAGCATTTAGCAGCTACAGACCCTGATATTTCACTCAGGCAGTGGTGAAGACCACACATATACAACAGAGGGAGTATTGGACTTAGATTTCAACAGGTCACACCAAAATTGATGAAATGAAATGAAATGAATGATGGTGTTGTTCAGTAACAGCAGGAAGTGTAAATAAAGAAAAAAATATTTAAAAGGTGATATTAGAGTTGAATATGTGTCTGAGGCCCCCAAGTGAACTAGTGAGCAGTTTCACCTGTGGTTCCCTTTCTATGACTGCAGTGACAAATGTCTATTAAAATGTTTTACTGAGAACAGAGTACATGGATTTCTAGTACACAGTATAGGTACAGGTACATACAGTATTTGAGTTTCAGTTAATATAGATGGACCCAGTGTGATTCATGTTGAGACAGGTTTATTTCCCCCATTAAAATCCTGCCTGATGCATCTGGCATGAAGCAGCTTCACCCGCTGACCTGTGCTTCTTGTGGTCCCGGGACAAGCTCCTTCTGTCCCGGCTCTTCCTGTCCCTGCTTCGGCTTCGTTTCTCTCGGCTGCGGCTCCCTCTGTCTTTGCTCCAGCTGCGGTGTTTGTCGACTCGGACCACAGAGCCACTGCGACTCCTCTTTTTGTGTCTTTCTCTTTCTCGCTCTGTGTGATCATAAAAAGACAGCAACAAGCAATATTTACTAGCCTGTATGTCAGCCTATAATCTATGTACATTTTTCTGGTGAGTACTACTGTATAAAGGATACTGGACTGCAAATATTAAATTCAGGAGACGAACATTTTCATTTATATAGTTATCATTCATGTGTTTTTAATTGGGTTTTAAAACACTTACACATTAGTCTAAAGCCAAAGACTATTACACATCTTTTCTATAAAACAGAGAAGCTCTGATACCCTTCAGTCTCCTCTGTGTTGTGCTGCATCATATTTCTTTGAGAAACTTGACAGTTTAATGTGGCCTCACTTCTTGGTGAAAGTGAATGTCAGAGACAACGAGATGTGAGACCTTTGATCAAATTAATAAGAGGTACTCGGTAAAGATCTGACCCACCTGGTGGCTCTGCGTGAGTGGGCTTATCACTTGTTGCCATTCTATGAATTGCTTGCACTTTAAAAAATCAGCAGAGGAATAAAAAAGAAAACACATTTCCCTAAAGTCCAGGAAGACATTTTATCCAAGTACTAAAAATATTCCGTTTTCATCACATGAAACAAAATAAAATA